CCTTCCCCTTCCCCTTCCCCTTCCCCTTCACTCCCCTTTCCTTCCTTCCCTTCTCTTCCAGCCTGATGTTCTGGACCAACTGGAATGAGCAGCACCCCAGCATCATGCGTGCCACCCTGTCTGGTGCCAATGTCCTCATCATCATCGACCAGGACATCCGCACACCCAACGGGTTGGCCATCGACCACAAGGCTGAGAAGATCTATTTCTCTGATGCCACGCTGGACAAGATTGAGCGCTGTGAATATGATGGGACCCATCGCCATGTGGGGGGGGGGGGGGGGGGGGCAAGAAGAGTGGTTGTGTGTGGGCAGGCAGATGGGGCAGGCTGTGTTTGTTTGGGGCAGGCTGTGTTTGGGGCTGTCCCACAGCCAGGATGCTTCGTGTTTACGGCTCGCCAATGTCCTGCAGGTGATCCTGAAATCAGAGCCTGTCCACCCCTTTGGCCTGGCTGTTTATGGTGATTACATCTTCTGGACGGATTGGGTGCGCCGTGCCGTGCAGAGAGCCAACAAATATGTGGGCACCGACATGAAGCTGCTGCGCGTTGACATCCCCCAGCAGCCCATGGGCATCATTGCTGTGGCCAACGACACTGACAGCTGTAAGGATGCCCTGCAGAGAATGTCCAACCGTCCTTCCTTCCTGCCCTGAGGTTGTTCCTTGGGGACATCCCAATCTCCTGGGGACACTCAAGCTCTGTGCAGGCTGAAGAGAGAGAATTCACCCCATTTGTGCTCCTGCTGAGCTCTGGGGAGGATGGACACCCCCAACCCCATGCATCCCCCCACTGAAGTGCCTGGGGAGGATGCCGTGCCTTCCCCACCCCCACCAGAGGACGCAGGGAAAGAGCTGCTGAGTGTGCCTGCTCTGTCTCTCCTAGGTGAGCTGTCCCTGTGCAGGGTGAACAACGGCGGCTGCCAGGACCTGTGCCTGCTCACCCCCAAAGGACATGTCAACTGCTCGTGCCGTGGCGAGCGTGTGCTGCAGGAGGATTTAACTTGCAAAGGTGGAGGGGAGGTGGAAGCTGACAGTCAGCAGGAGGGGATGGGGTGGAGGAGAAGGGGCTCCTCTCCTCCCGGCGGCACTGACCCTCCTTGCGCCCCTCCCAGCTCTGAACTCCACCTGCAACGTGCACGATGAGTTCGAGTGTGGCAACGGCGACTGCATCGACTTCAGCCGGACATGCGACGGCGTGGTGCACTGCAAGGACAAGTCGGATGAGAAGCAGTCCTACTGCAGTAAGGTTCCTCCTCTTGCTGCTTCGCTCATCCCACGCGTGCACCCTGCTCAGCCGGCGGGGCTACTGGCTGCTGGCTGCCAGCTCACGTCCCTCTGCTGCTCTGCGTCCCTCTTTGCCCCAGAGCTAGGACAAAGCGGCTGGGCTGTGAGGTCTGCAGAGCTGCCCTAATTCTGGAGAATGGGACCTGAGCTGTCCCATTTGGGTCTGCAGCACCCTTGCTCTGCAGCAGCCCTTGCTTTGCAGCTGGGGAGGATCTCTGCTGCAAAAAGCCAAGCTTAAATCCAGGAATCCATTTCCTTACTCTGCTTGTGCAGTTTCTCCTCTGTTGAAGGGTCCCACATCGCTGGCAAACCCCCAGCACTGACAGCCCCGCTCTCTCGCAGGCAGCCGCAAATGCAAGAAGGGTTTCCTGCACTGCATGAACGGGCGCTGCATTGCCAGCCGCTTCTGGTGCAATGGCGTGGACGACTGCGGGGACAACTCGGACGAAGTGCCGTGCAACAGTAAGGGATGGCTGCCTGCCAGGGTGCTGTCAGCTGCCTGGGATGGGGACAGAGGCATTGGGAAGGGGTTACCTTCAGCTCAACAGGAGGGCTGAGCGGAGAGTCAAGGTCTAAATTGGTTGTGCTGCTGTCAAACACAGAGCGGGGAGGGAGAGCTCTGCAGGCACCGTAGCAGCACTCAGAGCTGCCTGAAAGTCAGGGCTGGGGGAGCACGGGGTGATGGCGGCATGCAGTGTGACCGTGGTGGGTGTGGAGGAGCAGCAGGGCGGCCATGGGTGCCGGGACCCCCACCCAACCTCACCAACCTCATTGCAGAAACCAGCTGCGCTGCCACTGAGTTCCGCTGCCGCGATGGGAGCTGCATTGGGAACTCAAGCCGTTGCAATCAGTTCATCGACTGCGAGGATGCTTCAGATGAAATGAACTGCAGTGAGTGCCCTGCATGCGTCCCGCGTCCCCACCGCCCCCAAGCGCTGTGTGCCAGAGCTGCGGCCATCAGCTTACGCCGTGCCTCCCCACAGCTGCCACTGACTGCAGCAGTTACTTCAAGCTGGGAGTGAAGGGCACCACGTTCCAGAAGTGCGAGCACACGTCCCTGTGCTACGCGCCCAGCTGGGTGTGCGACGGGGCCAATGACTGCGGAGATTACTCAGACGAGCGCAACTGCCCCGGTGAGAGCTCCCAGCGTGGGCATGCATTGCCGCTGAGCGCATCTTCCTTTGGAGGGGCCCATATTCGGGCAGGGGGGCCCACACTGCTGTTCTCACGGCTGTTTTCTTCCCACCCCAGGTGGGAGGAAGCCCAAATGCCCGGCCAACTACTTTGCCTGCCCCAGCGGGCGCTGCATCCCCATGACGTGGACCTGCGACAAGGAGGACGACTGCGAGAATGGAGAGGATGAGACGCACTGCAGTGAGCGGCAGGGTGGGGAGAGCACGGGGCACAGTGGGGGGAGAGAGCAGAGGGGCCCCTCCTCCGAGATCCCACAGCCAGGGAGCAGCCCCCAGTGCTCTTTGTGCCCTTATTCCACAAGCCTGGACCTCTCCCTGTGAACAGAGCAGATCTGCTTGCCCAGCACTTGTGCGTGCCCACGGTCACTTTAAGGGTGCTTGGTTGCAGCTCTTGGAATTACTTCTTATGTTCCAACCTCCCCAATCAAACCTCACACTGAAGCCATCCCAGCTCCATACTGGGCTCCCACATCACTCCTCCTTCCCAGCACAATGCAGGGCTGCTGCCCCAGCCCTGAGCCCCTCCTCTCCCCTCCCAGACAAGTTCTGCTACCCCGTGCAGTTTGAATGCAACAACCACCGCTGCATCTCCAAGCTGTGGGTGTGCGACGGGGCTGACGACTGCGGGGATGGCTCTGACGAGGACAGCCGCTGCCGTGAGTGCTGCAGCCCCGCTTCTCCGCCGCCGCCTCCCCACACTTCTCTGCCCTCCTGCATTCTGCACACCCTGGGGCACGAGGCTCCTGGCCTGGAGCGCAGCCTCTCCATGAGCGGCTCTTCCCCGATTATCCCTTCTCCAGGGCTGACCACGTGCAGCACGGGGTCCTTCCAGTGCCCAGGTACCTACGTCTGTGTGCCAGAGCGCTGGCTCTGCGATGGGGACAAGGACTGCGCCGATGGGGCCGATGAGACCCTCGCTGCTGGCTGCCGTGAGTCCCCCAGGGGGCTGGGGAGGGGGGAGTTGGAGGGAGGACATGGAGAGCGGGGACTGAGCACTCCGCGTCATCCCAGTGTACAACAACACCTGCGATGAGCGGGAGTTCATGTGCGGGAACCGTCAGTGCATCCCCAAACACTTTGTCTGTGACCACGATGACGACTGCGGCGATGGCTCCGACGAATCCCCAGAATGTGGTGGGTGCTGGAGGGGGCTGGGGTGAGCGGGGGTGGGTGGGTGAGCAGAGGGAGTGGCTGCAGGAGGGCACCCACTGTGCACACAGGCGCCGCTCACTGTCTGGGGAGTGCAGAGGTGCCCGCAGAGCCCTCCTTGCCTGATGGTCCCCAGGGGGCGGTGGGGGCAAGGATGACCGCGCCGATGCTGTCTGTCACCAACAGAGTACCCCACCTGTGGCCCCCATGAATTCCGCTGTGCCAACGGCCGTTGCCTCAGCAACAGTCAGTGGGAGTGTGATGGAGAGTTTGATTGCCACGACCACTCGGATGAGGCACCCAAGAACCCGCGCTGCAGCAGCCCAGGTGCCCACGGGGCCACGTTTGGGTCCAAGGTGTGGGGCTGCCCCACCGCTCGCACTGACAGCCGCCTCTCACTCCGCTGCAGAGAGCAAATGCAACGATTCCTTCTTCATGTGCAAGAACGGGAAGTGCATCCCAGAAGCTCTGCTGTGCGACAGCAACAACGACTGCACTGATGGCTCTGATGAGCTGAACTGCTTCATCAACGAGTGCCTCAACAAGAAGCTGAGCGGCTGCTCCCAGGAGTGCGAGGACCTCAAGATCGGCTACAAGGTAGGGGCCCTCTGGAGCAATGCTGCTGTGCCTCCCAGACCTCAGCACGAGTGCCGCTCCTGCTCTGTGCTGCAGCATGCACGGTGCTCTCAGCCCATGCCTGCGTGTGCAGCTCTCACCTCCTCCTGTCTGCATGCACCTACCTCTCCCGTGGGTCCCCGGCCGTGTCTGACATCCCCAATGCCTCCTGCAGTGCAGATGCCGTCCCGGGTTCAGGCTGAAGGACGATGGGAAGACATGTATCGACATCGATGAGTGCTCCACCACCTACCCCTGCAGCCAGAAGTGCATCAACACCCTGGGGAGCTACAAGTGCCTGTGCATAGAGGGCTACAAGCTCAAACCCGACAACCCCACCAGCTGTAAGGCTGTCACAGGTGAGTGGGCTTTGAGGCAGGGTGCTGCTGGTGCTGCAGCCCCTGGCAGTGCTCTGTGCCTGGTGTGGGGAGGACCCACAGAGCAGGTCCTGACCCAGCTTCTGATCCCTTCGTGCAGACGAGGAGCCCTTCCTCATCTTTGCCAACCGGTACTACCTGCGGAAGCTCAACTTGGACGGCTCCAACTACACTCTGCTCAAGCAGGTGTGGGGCAGGAGGGCAGCACCGGCCTGTGGGGTGCAGTCTGCAGCTGGGGGGGTGGGTCCAGCATGCACAAAGCCTCCCGGCATGAGGGTCTGGGCTCCTGGCTTCCCACAGGCAATGGGCTCCATGCACACGAGCTCTCACTACGACAGTGCAGGAGGTACTGTGCAAACAGCTCTTGTGTGGGACCTTGACAGGTCAGGGTCTGCACAGCAGTTGTGGGTGCTTTCCACTTCTTCGCTGCCGGGACTGGAGGGGCTGCTGGGGGCTCATGAAACCCCCCTGACCCTACACCAGCAGGTGAAACTGTTCGGCTGCTTCCTTCTTCCTCCCAGGGCCTGAACAATGCCGTGGCTCTGGATTTTGACTACCGGGAGCAAATGATCTATTGGACAGATGTCACCACGCAGGGCAGCATGATCCGCCGCATGCACATCAATGGCAGCAACGTCCAGGTGGGGGTCGGGGACGGCTGCTGTGTGCAGCTGGGAGGGGCTGCTGCCTGCCTGATCCCAACGCGTTGGTTTTTCTCTCTCCAGGTTCTGCACCGCACCGGGCTCAGCAACCCCGATGGGCTGGCGGTGGACTGGGTGGGGGGCAACCTGTACTGGTGTGACAAAGGCAGGGACACCATCGAAGTGTCGAAGCTGAACGGAGCCTACCGCACCGTGTTGGTGAACTCGGGGCTGCGTGAGCCGCGGGCGCTGGTGGTGGATGTGCAGAACGGGTGAGAGCCTCTGGGATCTGCCCAGGGTGGGGGCTGGTGGTCCTCTGTTGTGCTGGGAGGGGGGTTTTACCCCCGGCCCTGCAGGACCCTAGTCGTGTGTGTGCTTTGGACTGGCTCAGACCCGCTCTGCTCTACTGTTTCCTTCCCAGTTACCTGTACTGGACAGACTGGGGGGACCACTCACTGATTGGGAAGATTGGCATGGATGGCACTAACCGTAGCGTCATCGTCGACACCAAGATAACGTGGCCCAACGGCCTCACGCTCGACTACATCAACAGTCGCATCTATTGGGCAGATGCCCGGGAGGACTACATTGAGTTTGCCAGCCTGGACGGCTCCAACAGGCACACAGGTGAGAGCTGTGCGGCCCTTCTGGGCCTTAGCAGGGTCCTGAGGTTCTGAGCTGGAGCCTGGGTTTGGGGTGGGGTCTCCAGCTCCCAGTGCTGGCTCCCAGCAGAGCTGACCCTGCTGTCGAAGGCAGGTGGGGGGCTGCAGGCTGCCCCTTGCTGAGCTGCCCTCTCCCCCACGCAGTGCTGAGCCAGGATATCCCGCACATCTTTGCACTCACCCTCTTTGAGGATTACATTTATTGGACCGACTGGGAGACCAAATCCATCAACCGAGCCCACAAGACCACGGGTGCCAACAAGACGCTGTTGATCAGCACTCTGCACCGCCCCATGGACATCCACATCTACCACCCGTACCGGCAGCCTGATGGTGAGCCGGGGGCTCTGAGGAGCAGCGCAGGAGGGCAGACTGGGCACTCGATGCCAATGGGGTCTGGGGTTGCCAGGCAGGGAGAAGAGGGGCACAAAGGCAGATGTGTGCTGTGAGTGGGGACCTGCAGCTGGGGGGCAACCCAGGGCCTCCCCCTGGATCTGACTCAGCTCTCTCCCTCTCATTTTCCCAGTTCCAAACCATCCCTGTAAGACCAACAACGCCGGCTGCAGCAACCTCTGCCTCCTGTCTCCGGGTGGAGGGCACAAGTGTGCGTGTCCCACCAACTTCTACTTGGGCAGCGATGGCAAGACCTGCGTCTCCAACTGCACAGCCAGCCAGGTAGCACCCCACGTGCGCGCACTGTTCCTGCACGGTTTTGCTGTGCTCAGTGCAAGCACCGGTGCAGGTGCGGTGCGTTGGGCTGAGATGCATGCATGACTTACGGTGCGGGCAACACCTCCCTCCTGTGGCACTTCACAGCACATACAGACTGTGGCTGTGTGTGGGATGCAGCTTTGGAGGGATGCTGCCCTCCCCATGACCCAGAGGTGGGACCCAGGGTTAGTGCAGGTCGGGGCACTGAGGAACTGGAGTATGTGGGAAGGGACAGCGCAGAGGTCAGAGCCCTTTGCAGAGGAGGTTCCTTGGGGTCTCCGCATCTGGGGTCCCCTTCTGACTTGCCCTCTTGGACTTGTTCTGCTTTGTTGCAGTTTGTCTGCAAGAACGACAAATGCATCCCTTTCTGGTGGAAATGCGACACAGAGGACGACTGCGGGGACCGTTCGGATGAGCCCGAGGACTGCCGTGAGTGCTGCGCTCCTGAAAGCTCTGCTGCTGCCCTGCCTTGAGGACAGCACTGGTGAAGAGGAGGGTCACCGCATTGGAGCTCAGTGCTGTACTTTGTCTTCCCAGCCAGGGCTGTTGCCCCATGGAAGTCAGCAGCCTTCTGCTGCCCCTTTGTAGCCAGCAGGAACCATTGCTCTGATTGCTGAGCCCCTGCTGAGGACCCCAAAGAGGGGAAGGAGGCAGGTTAAGGTTTACCCTGGAAGTGCTCCCCAGAGCAGACGTTTCACCCTGTCCTCCTCTCCCCACAGCTGAGTTCAAGTGCAGACCAGGGCAGTTCCAGTGCTCCACCGGGATCTGCACCAACCCGGCCTTCATCTGTGATGGAGACAACGACTGCCAGGACAACTCGGACGAAGCCAACTGTGGTGGGTTCTCCCGCCTCCTTGCGGCCCTCGAACCCTGGTGAGGCTCCAGCAACCTCATAAAGCACCATTCCCATGGTGCCACCTCCTTGGCAGATATCCACGTGTGCCTGCCCAGTCAGTTCAAGTGCACCAACACCAACCGCTGCATCCCCGGGATCTTCCGCTGCAACGGTCAGGACAACTGTGGGGATGGAGAGGACGAGAAGGACTGCCGTAAGTGGGCTGGGCTAGGGACAGTGTGGGAGTGAGAAGCTCCGTGTCTTCAGGTATTGCCTTTGCCTGCTCTCTGGGAATGGAGTTTTCTCCTTCCCCTGCTTTGCTCAGAGCTCTGTCCCCCTGCTTACTGATACCACTGTTTCCTGATAGAGCCTGAATCCTTGCATCCGTGAGAATGGCAAATTTAATATTTACAGTAGCTCTGCACTGAGCCTACTGCACAGCTGGGGGAGATCGTCTGTCCTTCTCCCTGCCTCCCTGAGGTGCCCAGAGGAGCAGACAGAGGAGCCTTCTGGGGCTTTGCTTCCCATCCCTCTTGTGCACATCGTCACCAAGCACACCTGCTGCAATGCCCAGAGCATCTGCAGGATGGATTTGGTGGGGTGGTGTTGTGGGGTGGGGGCTGGCAGAGCCCTGCCTGTCTGCTGCCTCCCCTGACTCTGCCTCCTCCCGCAGCGGAGGTGACGTGTGCCCCCAACCAGTTCCAGTGCGCCATCACCAAGCGCTGCATCCCCCGCGTTTGGGTGTGCGACCGTGACAACGACTGCGTGGACGGCTCTGACGAACCTGCCAACTGCAGTAAGAATCCTGCACAGGGAGGACGGGGGGGGTCCTGGCCCCTGGGGGGCTCTGCTGCAGCAGCGTGTGTGGGTCTGCCCGTGGGAGCCGAGTCCCTGCTTGGTGCCTGCGGATCCACTGGCATTGGAGGCTGCAGGCAGCGCGGCTCTGTCTGGATCTGTGTTTTGGTGATGCTCTTCTGGATCCTTCCCCCTCAGCTGCAAGGGAGCCCCGAGGAGAAGAGAGAGCAGTGCTAATGCCCCCTCCCCATATTTATGTCCATTTATTTCTCCCCAGCACAAATGACGTGTGGCGTGGATGAGTTCCGCTGCAAGGACTCAGGAAGGTGCATCCCAGCACGCTGGAAGTGCGATGGGGAGGATGACTGCGGGGATGGATCCGATGAGCCCAAGGAGGAATGCGGTGAGTGAGGGCTGGGGTGAGGAGGTGAACCCTGAGGGTCTCCTGTGTTCCCCCATCCCCAAAGGCAGCGCCACACTGGGTGCGGCAGGACGCCTGCTCCTCCTGAAGCCTCCTGGATGTGGGAGGGCGGCGAGCAGCTCTTCCTGGTGGCTCCTGCTCGCGCCTGCTGTGTGGGCGATGCTGATGCATGCCCGTCTCCATCCCTCCCAGACGAGCGCACCTGCGAGCCCTACCAGTTCCGCTGCAAGAACAACCGCTGCGTGCCGGGCCGCTGGCAGTGCGACTACGACAACGACTGCGGGGACAATTCGGACGAAGAGAGCTGCAGTACGTGCTGCCCTCCCACCTTCACTAACCCATGAGCTCAGAGCAGGGGGGCACCAAGGCTCCCCCACAGTCCCCCAGCTGCTCGTGGCCCAACTCTGCACCGGGCGGGGAGCGTGGGGCTGGTTGGGGCTGGTGCTTGGGAGCAGCGCTCTGCCCTTGGGCAAAAGCTCCGCGGGTGTGGCTGATCGCCCCACCAACTCCAGGAGCTCTGGGGAGAGGCCAGAAGTAGTGACAGATGGGAGGAATGGGCCAAAGCCCGGCGCCTCGTGGGCAGCAGTGCCCTCCCAGCACCTGCAGGGCTGACGGACGGCGCTGTGATGGAGCAGGACATGCTGCAGAGCAGCTCGGCTTTACGCCAGCTTCTTGCACTTTGGCTCCAGCTTGGCAGGCAGTGCCCTTCGAGGTGGTTTGGGTGAGGCTGTGCAAATGCATCACCTCCGGGAGGGGGCTGAGGTCTGTCTGGAACGAGCTGGACCCAACTCACAAACCTGGACGTGCAGGAGGATGGCTGGTTTGAGAAGCAGCAGCAGAAGCTGCAGCCCCTTAACGAGCTGCTGCTTGTTAGCAGAGCTGTGCCAGCACTGTCCTTTGGAGCAGCGGGGACTGGGATGGTGCGTGGCCAGTGTGATCCTTGGGGAGGTGGTGGTGGTGATCAGGACCCCTGTCCCCTCCCTGTTGCCCTGGGAAGGCACTGGGGCTGGCAGACGGCCCTGCAGACGCAGCCCCTCCTGTGCCAGCCCACTTGCCCACGCACCTCTGTCTCCCTGCAGCCTCCAGAGTGTGAATTTTTTCTTTTCTGTTGTTTTCATGTCGTGTTTTTGAGTTCGTGCCATTTCACTTCATCTTATGTTTTTTTCCATTTTCACACTGTCGTTATGGGGCGCTCAGAGGTAGGTTCCTGCCAAAATCTTTTAATTCCATGTACAGTCTCTTTAAATGAAGACATTAAGTTTCGAGTGAGGGCAGAGGGGCTGGGACCGGACCAACCCCGGTGGATTTGCAGAGCGTCAGCAGCAGCATCTCCTCCGCAGTCAGGATGGGTCCAGCCCTGCTCCCTGGCACCACCAGGGCCCACGCATGGCTCAGTCTTGGCCCCGCAACCTGTGACCCTCTGACACTCTGGCTGTACCCCCTTTGTTCCCAAACGCCCCCTGTTGGCTTCTGCTCTCCCAGCATTTGCCTAGTGCATCCTGCACCTCTGGGCGGGGGCTTAGCCCCAGTCTCCAGCTGTGTGCCTGCGCTGTCCCCAGTGCCGTGGGATGCGAACATCAGTCAGGCTGTGCTGTCTGCCCCAAGGCTGCCACTCTTGCTGCCGCACTCAGGGCTGCCCTGTGCTCTGTCTCCAGCGCCCCGGCCCTGCTCTGAGAGCGAGTTCTCGTGTGCCAATGGCCGCTGCATCGCTGGCCGGTGGAAGTGCGATGGAGACCACGACTGTGCTGATGGCTCTGATGAGGTACGGCGCCGGGGAGGGGAGCAGCACCCTGTCCTGCCCTCAGGTGGCAGCAGGGACCCCTCACCCCAGTGCCTGCCCCTGGACGAGGCTGTGAGGAGCTGGGGGCTGAGGGCCCAGCCCTGGCTGCCATTGTGGGGCAGGAAACGACCACAGCCTGGGCTGTCCCTGCTGACCACCATCCCTGGACCTTTCACTGCAGAAAGACTGCATACCCCGCTGCGAGTTTGACCAGTACCAGTGCAAGAACGGGCACTGCATCCCCATGCGCTGGCGCTGCGACGCTGATGCCGACTGCATGGATGGCACTGACGAGGAGGACTGCGGCACCGGAGGTAACGGCAGTGCCGGGGTCACCAGCTGTGCTGCGGATGGGGCTCAGCACCAACCATGTCAGGTTGGCTGTGGCCTATCTCAGGCCTGACTCGGGCCTGCCTGAGGCCTGACTCAGCCCTTCCTCTGGCCTGACTCGGGCCTACCTGCGGCCTAGCTGCAGCCTGACTCAGGCCTAGCTGTGACCTAACTCGAGCCTGCCTGCGGCCTGATTGTGGCCCAACTGAGGCCTAACTGTCCTCCCTGCACTGTTGCAGTGCGCACCTGCCCCCTGGACGAATTCCAGTGCAACAACACGCTGTGCAAACCGCTGGCCTGGAAATGTGATGGGGAGGACGACTGCGGGGACAACTCAGATGAAAACCCCGAGGAGTGCTGTGAGTGCCGCTGCCTCCTCACCGCCGTGGCCCTGCCAGGCGCAGGGGGGAGGCAGGGCTGGGGCCTGCTGGCTGCCGCAGGCGCAACGAAAAGATGGAGCCCCTCTGCTCTGCACCTTTAGTGGTGCTGGGAGGGCAGAGGGGCTCCTCTTGAGAGTGGCCTCACAGATGGGTGGGTGTGGGGCTGGAACTCGGGTTCAGGACGACGCTGGTGGGGCAGAGAGGCCGTGCCCTGTTGTGGTGCCACCAGCAGCTGATTGTCTGCTTCAGTCTCTTTGCTTTAGTCTCTGGAGTCTGCTCACGTCTGTGGGACTCCCTGGGATCGGGCAGAGGCTGAGCAGCAGCTCGTGACCAGCGTGACAGTCTGGCCATGGCGTCTCCTTTCACCGTCACCGTTTGTTTCTGTTTGCTGGTGCAGTGAAATTCCAGTGTCCCCCCAACAGACCGTTCCGCTGCAAGAACGACCGGGTATGTCTGTGGATCGGTCGGCAGTGCGATGGCATTGACAACTGTGGAGACAACACGGATGAGAAGGACTGCGGTGAGTGCAGACCAGGCTGGCTGCTGGCCTTGGGCTGCTCCCTGCAGGGTGCTGGGCTTGGCTTCACCAGCTACTCCTTCCCCGGAGTTGGGGGCAGCTGCAGGCACTGCAGGGTCCTCCCCAAGCTGCTCTCCCCCTGCTACGCACATGGGGCCGGGCACCCAGGGCCCCGAGGCATCACCGTGCTGCCCGTACTCCCACAGAGTCCCCCACGGCCAAGCCCAAGAGCTGCAGCCAGGACAAGAATGAGTTCCTGTGTGAGAACAAGAAATGCATCAGCGCCAACCTCCGCTGCAACTTCTTCGACGACTGTGGGGACGGCTCTGATGAGAAGTCCTGCTCTCACGGTGGGTGCGAGCAGGGGGCTGGGGGGCACTGGGTGGCCGTGTGGGTGCTGACCGTGTCTCCCACCACAGAGCACAAGTCGTATGACTGCATGACCAACGCCACCATGTGTGGAGATGAGGCCCAGTGCATCCAGGCACAGTCCTCCACATACTGCACATGCCGCAGAGGCTTCCAGAAGGTTCCAGACAAGAATTCCTGTCAAGGTACTTCCTGCTGCTGAAGGTCATGTTTATGGCTGCTTTTCACCCTTAGGATGCATCTTGGTGTCTGCAAAGCAGATGGGGTGTTGGAAGTGGTGTCCTCAGGGCACAGATGTGGGGCCTGAGGGGTGGTGGGGGTTCTGTGCACTGCGAATTCAGACCCCAGGACTGAGTCTGGAAACACCGCCTGGGCTCCCTGACCCCACCTCCCCTCTGCCCAGATGTCAATGAGTGCCTGCGCTTTGGGACCTGCTCCCAGCTCTGCAACAACACCAAGGGCTCCCACATCTGCAGCTGCGCCAAGAACTTCATGAAGACTGACAACATGTGCAAGGCGGAAGGTCAGGAGGGGTTGTGGGTGTGCACAAACCCTGAGCGTGCCGTGCCGTGCTGCAGGACTCTGCTCCTGATTCCTCCCCCTCCCCCTTTGCTCTGCCTGTCCTGATGGGATGCTGGCCCCGACCCTGTCAGCATGTCCCATTCATCTGTCCCTCCCCAGCCCAAAGGAGTTGAGCACCCAGTCCCATGCCATGGAGCCTGGCTGACTGCAGCTCCCTGGGCATCACTAACGACTCCTCCCTGCAGGTTCGGAGCACCAGATCCTCTATATTGCTGATGACAACAAGATCCGAAGCATGTACACCTTCAACCCCAATTCAGCCTACGAGCCGGCCTTCCAAGGTGATGAGAACGTGCGCATCGATGCCATGGACATCTACGTCAAGGGCAACAAGATCTACTGGACCAACTGGCACACGGGCAGGATCTCGTACTGCGAGCTGCCTGCCTCCTCTGCTGCCTCCACAGCCTCCAACCGCAACCGGCGCCAGATCGACGGCGGCGTCACCCATCTGAACGTGAGCTCCATCCCCATGTGCTGCGAGGTGTGCAGTGAGGCAGCCAGCCCTGACCCTCTGGCCCTGACCTTCCTCCTGGTGCCCTCCCCAGATTTCCGGGCTGAAGATGCCACGGGGCATTGCTGTTGATTGGGTTGCTGGGAACATCTACTGGACGGACTCCGGGCGGGATGTTATCGAGGTGGCACAGATGAAAGGCGAGAATCGCAAGACGCTGATCTCGGGCATGATTGATGAGCCTCATGCCATTGTGGTTGATCCGCTTAGGGGGTGAGCCTCGAGCCCTTTCCCTCTTACCCTCGATCCTACTCTCACCCTGCTTCCTTACCAACACACCCTTCTGTGGTGGAAGCTCCCTGTACCCCAGGGCTGCGCTCTTTGTCAGGTGGGAGGTATCTGGGGTCGGCTCGCCCTGCTAGGATGGTGCTGGGAGGAGGCTGACAGTTTCTCCTCTGCTGGGGTGGGGGCTGTCCTGCTCGTCCCCTTCATACTGTCCTGCTAGCAGTGACCTGCCCGTGTCCTTCGCAGGACTATGTACTGGTCAGACTGGGGCAATCACCCCAAGATCGAGACGGCCGCAATGGATGGGACGCTGCGCGAGACCCTGGTGCAGGACAACATCCAATGGCCAACAGGTGAACTGAGGGGCTCAGGAGCGCCAAGTGGAGGGACGGCCAGCTCGTGCTTGGAAAGCTCAGCTTGGCTGTGGGTAGGGCAGGGTAGTGGGTAGCCGTGCTGCCCAGTGGTGGTTTGGGGTGGGCTTTGAGCCCCCCTCATGGCTGTGTGTGCACCAGGCCTGGCTGTGGACTACCACAATGAGCGGCTGTACTGGGCTGACGCCAAGCTGTCCGTTATCGGCAGCATCCGGCTCAACGGCACCGACCCTGTGGTGGCCATCGACAACAAAAAGGGTGAGCAGAGCACTGTGGGAGCAGCAGGGAGGAGGCTGACCTGTGCAGGGGCGACATCCCCGGGTTCCCACCTGGGTTGGGTCCCACCTCTTTCAGGATGGGAGACCCCAGCCCACCACCCATCTGCAGCCTCTCCTCAGCCCTGCCCACGGCAGCACCTGGCTGGCCGTGCTGCCTGCCCCTGTGCTGACCTCACGGGTCCTCTCCTCGCTTTCCCAGGGCTGAGCCATCCTTTCAGCATCGACATCTTTGAGGATTACATCTATGGGGTCACCTACATCAATAACCGCATCTTCAAGATCCACAAATTCGGGCATAAATCCGTCACCAACCTGACGTCCGGCCTCAACCACGCCACCGATGTGGTGCTCTACCACCAGTACAAGCAGCCGGAGGGTGCGTGCTGGCCTTGGGCCCCCCCTGCTTCTGGGGGAAGGCACGTGATCGCTCCTATGAGGAAGGGTCGAGGAAACCGGGCTTGTTTAGCTTTAGTAAAAGAGCTCGGTAAAGAGAAGGCATGGGGAGGCCTCATTGTGGCCCTCCAGTACCTGAAGGGAGCTTATGAAAAGGATAGGGAGCGGCTGTTTACGAGGGCGGGTAGTGATAGGACAAGGGGAATGGTTTTAAACTGAGCCAGGGGAGGCTTAGGTTGGATATGATGAGGAAGTTTTTCCCCAGAGGGCGGTGAGGCCCTGGAACAGGCTGCCCAAGGAGGCTGTGGATGCCCCATCCTGGAGGCTGGATGTGGCCCTGGGCAGCCTGGTCTGGTTGGCGACTCTGCACTTAGCAGGGGGTCGGAACTCAATGGTATTTGTGGTCAACCCAGGCCATTCTGTGATTCTATGATGGTGTGGTAGAAAAGGTGAGGGGAGCAGGGGGGGACTGAGCCAAGTTGGGGTTGTAGGGGGTGAGGGGTTCACGTTGGCCAGGGTGCAATGGGAAGCCTCCAGTTGGTGACCCAAAGGCACTGGGTGCAGTGGGGCTCGGACAGCTGTAGTGCTGTGGGGCGGCGCTGTGCCTCACTCTGTGCTGCCCCTTCTCTCTGGCAGTGACCAACCCTTGTGACCGCAAGAAATGTGAGTGGCTCTGCCTGCTGAGCCCCAGTGGCCCTGTCTGCACCTGCCCCAACGGCAAACGCCTGGACAACGGCACCTGCGTGCTCATCCCCTCCCCCACCGCCTCTGCTGTGGGTAGGTGCTGCTGTGGGGGGGATGAGGAGGAGGAGGATGGAGGGGGCTGCGCGGCACAGCCCTGCTCACCTCCCACCCAATCCCAGTGCCCACCACCGACACGTGCGACCTGGTCTGCCTGAATGGGGGCAGCTGCTTCCTGAACGCCCGCAAGCAGGCCAAGTGCCGCTGCCAGCCACGCTACAATGGGGAGAGGTGCCAAATCAACCAGTGCTCAGATTACTGCCAAAACGGGGGTCTGTGCACCGCTTCCCCATCCGGTGAGTGCCGTGAGGCTGTGAGTCTTCAGAGGGGAGGGTGGGTTACACGGGCAGACAGATTGCTGTGATGGCTCTCGTTCCCAGGCATGCCCACCTGCCGCTGCCCCACTGGCTTCACGGGGTCCCGGTGCGACCAGCAGGTGTGCACCAACTACTGCCACAACAACGGCAGCTGCACAGTGAACCAGGGCAACCAGCCCAACTGCCGCTGCCCACCCACCTTCATCGGGGACCGCTGCCAGTACCGTGAGTGGGGGGGTAGAAGGGGGGTCCTACACCTGGGGAGGACTTGGTACAGGCTGGATGCGGAGCCGCTGGAAGGGAGCTCTGCAGAGAGGACCTGGGGCAGCCAACAGCTGCCCACGGGCTGAGCATGAGCCAAGAGAACCATGGGACCCTGGGGGGGCACTGCACAGAGCGTGGACAGTGGGACAAGGGAGGGGGTTATCTCCTCTTCCGCCCCCACCCTGAGCCCTCTGTGCCCCACAGAGCAATGCTTCAACTACTGCGAGAACAACGGCGTGTGCCAGATGACCAAGGACGGTGTCAAGCAGTGCCGCTGCCCACCGCAGTTTGAGGGCGCACAGTGCCAGGACAACAAGTGCTCACGGTGCCAGGAGGGCAGATGCAACATCAACAGGCAGAGCGGAGAGGTGTCCTGCATGTACGTGCCACGGTGCTGGGCAGAAAGGAACGGGAGGGTGAAGAGATGTGAAGGAGCCTGCATGCCAGGGATGGAGGGTGAGGGGGGCACACACCCAGAGGACGCTGTTTGGTGCGGCTGGGGCCCAGGGCTGGCATGAAGCGGGCACTGGCAGGGCTTTGGGGGAGGGCCTGCGTGGGACTGGTGGCATCCCTGGGTGTCGGTGCACTGAGCTGGGTGTCCCACAGCTGTCCTGATGGCAAGATAGCACCCAGCTGCCTGACCTGTGACAGCTACTGCCTGAACGGAGGCACCTGCTCCATCAGCGACAAGACACAGCTGCCTGAGTGCCTGTAAGCAGGGGGGGGAGGAGGGGGGCTGAGGGGGGCTGCAGGGGAGAGGCCTGGGGGGAGCTGCGGTGGGGGGAGCCCTGCGCCAAGCCGGGGGGAGGTGCCTCCTGCCTCCTGAGCAATGCTGACAACCCCTGATCTGTGTCATCCCCCCC